TTTTATACCAATGACACAATTACCAATTAAAGACGAAATTATGGTTTATTGAATTGCGTGCACCGTTTTATTGCCCGGCCCAGTCAAACATAATGTCTCAAAAATTGACCCTAAACAAACTCTTAACATGATTTGAGTACAGCTTTCGACAAAGCAAAGTGATATTACGGAAATGTATGTAATATTTATACACATAAATATGTATTTACGATCACTCATGGTTGACAAAGCATCGGAAAAACCACGCGTCGCTTGATTATGGCATACATGTCATAAGTCTGACAGGTGTCCCTTTGTGGATCAATAAAATGATCTACTTACGTCCGTAAATGACAGTAAATTGATACCCACCATAAATGGGACGGACGTGAATATATCGTGGAGCACAATGCCTTCAATACATAAGGAAGACTGCCATTTTGTGTGTATAGAAATATCAGGTCCAGATTCATCACTACAAGTTTTGCAACAAAGCAGAAATATTGGTCCTTGTGGATGAAGATTTTTACAAACTTTAAAATATGATTTTGTTATAATAATAAAATAAAAAATAAAGAGATTAAAACAAAGGCGTTTGAAAGCAGGATATCTAGCGGTTATTACAGACAACAATACAGGTGAATGGCTGAGAAAAGTAAGATTGTAAGTTGATTACACTTTTTTTCGTGAAAGTAAAAACTTGTAGACTGAAACAAAGAGTTGGCTAATTTACACAAATAGCTATTTAGGTGGTCATGGTCTAGGAGATCTAGAAGGTGAAAAACTGTTTAAAAAGCTACATTGAACTTAAACATTTTTTGTGTATGTAGGCTTTCATAGATCGTGTTCAAGAAACTTCGAAGAAAATTAAGGAAAGCCAATCAGATTACCTATCATCGGTATCGGAATTGGAGCACTTCGACAAGAAAATTGAATAATCGATATCGATTGAGCCCGACCTCACAAGCACCGATTAAGTGTGTATACAGAATTGGAACGAAGTAGATTAAAAAGTATTTAAAACAAGGTGTGTAACCTTTATCAATAGCGTTCTATGTACACTGATGAACAGAAATTCTAGTAGACTCTACATCTTCCTTCTTTTTCTTTGCTCCACATTATATTAAATGAATTATAATATAAGTTTGACACATTTGTTTTGTTTTATCACAATATAAGGGACCGTTAGGTGTATAGTATAAAGAATGCCACAAGGGAGAGTCCTGGGGCCAATAAAAGTAAACTGTTAATAGGAGCTTAGGAGCTTGAAAATATTTTATAATGTGAGATGATATCGGGTAGTACACTATAAACAACGATTTTTACAAAACATCGTTTAAATAAATTGTACTGTTTCTATAAAATGTGATGAGCATGATTATTTATATATTTTAACTAGAAGTAACCGGAAACAATAAAACAAATAGTATGTTTTATTGTACTATCAATACTGAATTTAATTAAAGGCTCCGTGTGTCAGATCCTTGTCACCCACGTAACTACGTCAGGAGATGCAAATGCAATGCGCTTGTGAAGCATTTATAATGAACAGGTTATTATTTAATGCTCTACGATAATTTCGCCAGCGTACTGTTTAAGTTTCACACTAAATTTAAACCAACTAGATATTGCGTTGATCTATTTAGAGGCAAATGTCAACGGAGTCTGAGCTTGATTATAAGGTTTACATATTCTATATCCGATTTTCAACAAATTGATTTCATACACAGTATTATTTAACGGTACAAAATTATAAATGCCAACAAAGATTGCGCTAATCAGCAAGGTTGGTGGAGAACCACACAGATTTTACATGTCATCTCTCGTAATACTTTTTAATTACCCGTAGGAAGGTCATTCATTAGATATAGCTTCAGCAAACGGCAGCCAGGCCCATAATGTCGCGCCTACTTATAATTCAGCACACCCTAATGGTGCCTAAGCAGATTGCGTAACAAATGGGCACATTACGAAATCATTATATACACAGCATACAATCCATTAACCGAAGGAGTAGAATCATGTAATGAACAATAATACAGCTATGGAAATAATTGGGGACGAACTAACATAGAATACATTACTAGGCTCGCATATTTTCAAAGATAATTGTTATCTTGCGAATACTGTGTATTTGTCTCCATTTCATGAATACTATGTTAAGGGGATCATTAAAGTAACTATTACACATGAGAAAGTATACTTGTTATAGATATCGTTTAATGATTTGGTATAATAATTGGCTGGTAAATGGGGATAAAGACAGTTATTGTTGAAGGCACGTTATTATGTTACGAAGAATGCATTGTAATAAGTAAGAACAAATCACGTAACGATTACGATTTGTTTGCAAATAATGTAGCATCTTAGATCATTGCGAGTAGAGATTATACCTTTATGATAGTCATTTGACGACTTAATGTTTGTACCACGAAACAATAGTGCGGATATATTGATGAATGTTGTTGTAACAGTTCCATCACCATATTCCTTTGATCAGTTCACGGATACATTGTATGAGTGACATACGAGTATTTCTTGGTACAGAGGCAAATGGTTTAAGTGACATTCGAGTGCATGAGATGAGTATGATGACAGACAACTAAGATAAGCCACATCCTGACATAACTGTTCATGCATATAATTAGATGCAGCTACTTGATATGGAAATACTGACTGATGAGAAGTAGGACGTCAGACTATAAGCATGACGCTAAGGAATTATGACGCGAAAGTATCTACAATTAATAATGTACGTAATGATGTCCTTGAATAATAAATGTGTTACTAGGAATTTACAGTTTTCGTAAATGATGAAAAATATTTAAGCATCAACATATTTTGAAGTAAAAAGCCACGATTTTGAACATATGTTGTAAGAAATTTCATCGATATAAGGAATTCCATGCAACAAATATTGTGTCAGTGCAAAGAAAAGTTGCGTAAAATGTAACAATAGTAAAACGCAGTAGATTTAGCGCGATTACGCGATTATTGCATAGCTACGGATATGAAACCTTGCTGACTACAGGAAAGGAAATATTGCTAAACTAGCAGCCGGCACTCGGACGTGTGAGCTAGATGGATTTCCTGATTGATATTCATATCATTCTTACAGTTCTTTATTTAAGGTTTGAGTATTAGGAAACAAACGAGGAACTTAGCTCAAAAACAAAACTAAAAATAATAATCTGATTTTACACCTAGAACATAACTATTGTACGATTTAACGGTTCGATTCGTTGCGGTTTCCACTTATCACTTAAATATGTAGCGAAAGTGCTAGCAGCAGTTGGATTCAAAGAAAACACAAAAGCAATGGAGCGAACCGTATATCTTAATTATGTAAATGAACACTTGATTCAACAACTCGAGTCCACGTATTTAATTTGCGAAATCATTGCTTCTTTGACTAGTCAATTACATAATAGTTAAGGACATTATAGAAAATGTATAGACCGTTATTAATACTTAAGTCGTTCTTAATGAAGTTGTGGTTTCATGGCATACCGCATCGGAGCGAAAGCCTGTTCTGAAGAGGATCGACTCTACGGACGATAATTTTAGAGTTTTTTTTGGCATGGGATGTATTATTGTCATTCCTACTTAAAGTATTATGACGTTTGCATCCATAACTGCATGCATCACTGATTCAGACTTGATGATAAGTGTCGAGTATGCAAATGTGGGCCTGCTTTCTTAGTGCCGCGATTACTCACCACTATTGTTTGCAGCCTCCCCTTTTACCGCTCGAGTGGCAAGCTACTTGGCAAACAGTTCAAGCTCGTCGAGAGCGCTCAACGAGGCTTTTAGTGCATCTAACAATAGGAATGCTTTTAGCCTAATTAAAATTTTATAAATAATATATTGCACCTCAATATTTGCGAGAAGATATTCAGGTCATGGTGCAATCTAAGCGCATCAAATCATCATAACAATTTGCTGTAGCAACGATTTAACATAACATTTGCAAATAATAATTTGAAACATAACTCGTAATATATTGACCAAGTTACCGAAGGTTGAAGCCGCAACGCATCGGCTGCTATCTGGGTCGGAACGGATGTAAAGACATAAGGTACTCAGTGAAACCATAGAACTACTATCTATAGAGACTTTGTGGGTCTACGGAAACTTGCATTGACCTGATACTATTTTCATAAAAGAGAAAGGTCGTTAAATCAAAGCAAATATTGGTCAATATGAATGTAATATTCGATTCTGTGACATATACCTGCACATGCAATTTCAAAGACATGTTAAACAGGTATATCTGGAACGTTGCTCCAATCGCTTTAGCCCAGAGTCTAGAATGTAACGGCAGTCAATATGTACCTACATTACCAGTGTCTAGAAAATATGAGGAGGATAGTTGCAAAAATGGTCATAAATGTGCGTGTCTCACGATCTACTTTTTGTGTCTTCCAAAATGCATAACGTAGAGGAACATACTAATTAAAAAGTGGCAAATTGGTTTCTAGATAGATGAACATAATGAGTATGATCGTAAATCAAAAGATTATTGAGATTGCGAAAATTAAATTGATCTAACGAACACGAAATTTACAGACACCCAACATTCGTTTTTATACGCCATTATCAGCATGCACGTGATTTTAGTCAACGTTATAAGTTTTCATAAAATATGAAAACATTAAAATAAATAATCGTGTCCACATTACACTGGAGCATAATTGTTCAGCATTGCTATTTCAATCACAGTCTAATACGTCGGACACGACGTCGGAGCTAATTAGGTCATTTACTTGCTGCAGTATTCTAGTTGTAACCAACACGAATGACATAGCTAACGATAAAAAAGCATTTTAACGAATTGTGGATGTCTTGACCGACGCTTTTGGTATTTATGTGCGACATCAACGTATGATATCGAGAATGGTGATAAATTATATATAGTAAAGCTGATAAGGCAATTGTGGCCAGAAAAGGCATTAAACTGGTATGAAGTAGCACGTGGGGTATGCCAGTGTTTGGTATACACTTACGGCCAAGTACCAGACCTTCGTCGACGATGTGTCCTGGGCTGAGGCTCCGGCGCGTGCAGTAACGCTTGCGGGATCAGGCTTTTGGAGGGCTTGCGTCTCGTCAGCCGGTATTCCGGCCTATCCGCTGCACTCTTACATAGTCTCAATGTTGATAACTCACTTTCAGAGCCACACCACAATGAATCCATCGACAACATTGTCTCACTTTAGTTTTAACACATCACAAAATATCAAACACTGTTCAAAAGTTTTCTCACGAGCAACCTTGGAATCTGCACTGTTGCAACAGCAATTTAAGACGAGCAATCCAACAAACTGTAGTTAAGTTACAGGAGGGCCTCGCTTATGTTTATATTCGGAGATATTGTCCAAAAGTTTTGGCAAATGTTGCAACCGGCATGTTTTAGTGAAGCAACATTTAATAAGTGGAATCGGCGCGCGAAATCACGTTGCAAAATAATGCACACGTGACGCTTATTAAATTAGTGGAAAATTGAAAATCTGAGAGACGTATTTTTATGAATATTGTAGGATATATGGAATTTGTTTCCGATGAGTATCGCGCAAAGCGGATCATAGGTCCGCAAGCCGCGAGCGAGTGAGAGCGCGGGAGCCGTGGCGGCGTGGTGCGGCCGACTGAATGCGCGAGTGTCGCGAGCGGCAAACCCTCCCGCCACGACCACGAAGTCACCGAATGTTCAAAAATTGCAAACAAAAGATGTCTGGACGCCGTTATCGCAAAGATTGTGGCGACCACAAGGAGGGCATCATGCTTCTTCATGTTACCTTTGTTGTGACTTATACAAATAAATGATAATCTGTTTGCTTAAGCGCACATGCTGCTTGTTATTGTTGTTATTGCGAGCCAAGTAAATAAAGTTCATGCTTCGAAGATGGCCGTTCAAGCAAAATTGAACTATTATATTTTGCTTCACATCTATTAGGAACTGTAAGTATCTTCTATTAAATACATATTATAAAGAATGTTGTTGAGCTTTGCCACTGCATAACAGTTATTACCAAATAACCAGAAAATATTTTCAAGGGTATAATGATTTTATGACGGAAATGTCCTTCTCAATAAATTTTTCCATGCATTCCATTCGTTATGCATGTATTGCGTGTTTAATTACAAAGAGTTTTAGAAGGTCTCCCAATTTATACTGTTGATGCTGATGCTATAATTTTTTCGTACTTGATTACATTTAGTACTATTTTTACTTAATTATAAACTGTTATTACTCAAACCGTTGAGATTTCGGTGCCTTATTGCTTTTTTTCAAACAGCAAACAATCTCTATAAACTTTTGCCACATTTTGTTAATGTATTCATTTTTATAGTGGGATAAAAAACTTTTCAATTTGAGTCTAATAAGTATTTTTCTTTGACTGTTATAAAAAAAACACTTATATTCTACAGGTTTATTCTTCAATTTGGTTGACGTTAAAAAATAGAGCGCATTGTTTGATAAGTAATGATTTGCTCTGCCAACTACCCTATGGTTGACTGTTAGAGGGTCAGCCATTCAGACCGTTTTGTGTGAAGAAGCATTTTTAAAAATCGTGAGCAGGTTACGAGGTCTTTTTCCATTTTTCATCACGTGAAATAAGTCGCATGTTTTTATTGCAACTCGTAACGATAACCTGATTGGACGTTAATTAACATTCGATTGCGAAACATTACGAAAAAACATTCTTTGTCACATTTTTCTAGCAAAAAACAACAGAACTCTACAAAATAAGTCTTAATTAAATCGACTGAACTGTCTAGCGTTTTGTATTTCATTTTATTAATTAGCGTTTCGTGTAAAGTGTCCATTTTTTGCAGATATGACGAGAGAAAAAAGGTTGTAGTCTGATTCTAACTTCTAATTATATAGCTATAAAAGTGTTGATACCTAATCGTAAGGCTTCAATAGTAAAATTTACAAATAACAATCCAGGGGATAGCTGGGGTTACGGGGTAAGCGCAATGAGGCACCGCGACCTCGGCCTACAGCAGGAGAAGGAAAAGGGGGGTTTTTAGTCAGTAAGCCTCTGACACTCCCCCCCGCTCGGCCCTGGGCGGGAGAAGTCATTTGATGATTTTCTCCTCACAAAAAGAAAAAAGCCTCGGCCTGGAGCGGGAGAATAAACGGGGGATTTTTAGTCAGTAAGAGTAGGTATTTTAGGCCAAAGTAAAAATATCGCATAACGAGATTAGATGTTGTTACATGTCAGAATATTGTTACACGTTGAAAGTAATTCATCATAAACGTTCTTAATGACCGAATTTTAGTTATGAAGGTCAATCTCAAGGATATGTATCACCAAACACGATGTAGTGCACAGGTAACAGTATTGATCATCTCTACGGGAAAGGAACTACTCAGCTGGGGTAGCGGGTCAAGCGCAATAAATTACCGCGGCCATGGTCTGCGGCAGGAACAGGGTGGTTTTAGTCAAATATAGTCTGACACTCTACGGCCCAACCGAGATTTGAAGTTTTCTTCCTAACTACCATCGCATATCATTGTCGTAATTGAAGGTAAAAAAAAAAAACTTTACTGAAGTTATGGTCCGACTTCAGGTTTTTATCGGTGCTGGAAATAAATTAGTAACTACTTTAGAAGAAAAAAAGCAAACATAAGAGTTATTGATACATAGATAAGGAACCACGAAAGGTAAATATTGATGTAATAGTGCAAAAACAAACGTACTAGATGGAATTGGTATAGGGCCAAGAAACCTGTGTTTTCCCTCATTCGTATTCATTTATGCCCTAAATAGCTGCATAAGATGACATCTAATTAATAACTGGTCTATTTTGAAAAGTACATTTGCAAATTTTGCCACGAATAGCTGGGTTGTCTATTATTATAATTTCTGTGCTCCTTTTAGATGTGAACAGCTCTGAGGCTCAAGCAAGGATCAAAACAGGTATTTGATTAGAAGATGGAATGCAGAAGCGGAATATTATTATCGATCCAGCTAAATGATAAACGGGTAAGGAAAAACCAATGTTACCGGTACCGGGTCATGTGTCTTGAATAATTTAAATCGGTAATTCTGTAAGGATTTAATTTACTTTAAAAAGTTGTTGCTTAAAATGTTTATACTTAGGTAAATTAAGTAGGAAAATGTATGGAAATCTATGGATACGTACGTATTACACACCTAATCAAATATTTTACGTTACGCACCTAATTAAACATTTTTATAACTCTGTCCTGTAGGTATCGGTTATAGTATACATTAGTCTTCAAGAGGAAAATAAGTGATTTAGTTTATGATGATGAAACTAGTGCTTAACCGTGTTAAAGTGAAAATAATTAACGTATGATGAATGCAAATGGAATCTATACGGCAATTCTAGTCTCTCACATATGCTTGTATGGAGATGAACGCTATGTTGGACAATGATATCTTAAACTGGCGAAGGATGAGCCTTCAACAGTGTTTGAGAAATATCGAACACTACTCCATCATCGAAACCTAAAATTTTCTAAGAAAAAGAAACGTATCATACTGCTGTTTCGGTTTAATTTACGAATCCCCAACTTGCTCGAGCCACAGTACGCCAATTCCCGTAAACAATTAGGTAAATACTGTTTACTGGAATCAGCAAATTGAATGCACCCATTTACCATTCATATGGTGAATCATAACGTTATACTTTTACCGTGAAACTTATGAGTTAAATTAAAACAGAGATCCGCTGGTTTCTTTTAAGGGACCTTTAATTTCAAAGTTTCATTTAAAAACTTGCCATTGGTGCGTTTGGTCATGCGATATCCTCTTTTGCGCTTCTTGCTGCGTGTTCAACCCGGCACTGAATTCGAGTGTAGGTCAAGGAGTCATTGTCCCATAACTGGAACGTTCCTGGTGGGTCAGTTGGCGTGAGTCAGCGTCAAAAAGTTGAACTAGTAGTCGGTCCTTTTGACCGAAACCGTGTTACGATCGTCGCGTGGGTTTAACGAGGGACATTGGACTCCGCGCCTTAGATTGAATCTCGGATATTGAGGCATCTAGTCTACGATCTATGCACGAGTAGCATCACAGATTATTAAAATGACATAGCATTAGAATTCGCTTTATTATGAATTATTAAATTGTTATTTTTTGCCGAAAATCTGAAGCAATAGCAGCGAACAATTTGTCAATTGCAAAACCTGTAAAGACTTAAAACGGTTGTAGCTTCAAAACCACCTGAACAGATTTTGTTTGGCCATCTATTCGTACATAGTTCGCAGGGTAAATAAACACTTATGTGACTTATGTGACATTATCCGTTAGTAAGACTAACTTTGCGACTTCGTGAAAGAGACTCTTTGAATCACTTGTCTTATGTAATTTATTTTACTATTGAATATAACCTGATTTCAGTCTTTACAAGAACCAAATATTTGATAAAACGAGCAAACATGGAATATTAAAAAATATGTGTTACTTCGAGATAATAATTTTAAGTGTAACGACTTTCGAAATTTCCGATTCAATACGATAGATGGCGTTAATAGGACGACAATTTTTTTTTTAATTAGTACAACTAGTATTCTGATATCGCCTGAGTGTCTAGTGCGAGTTTGGTTTGGTTTGGTTGGTGTGTCTGATGCTTATTAATTATTCAACGACGGATGGGACTTACAAATGCGTTGCTGACTTTTTGGGGATTTGGGATGGGGGACCTTCAGTTACCTTCTTCACAAGGTGAAATACACCACAAGTGTAGGCATTCTATGAGGCCTTGTCTCTTTTGATATCACTTCGATCAAGCAGACCCATTGGTGCTTAAGTATGAATATCCTATGTTCGTTATCACTGGTCAACCGGTATTTTAAAACATAAAACTTCATGAAAACATGGCTGCAATAAACAAACAGAGTTCTGATAAGAAGGATTACCATCCTTCTTAATTAGAACTCTAAATTAGAAAAAAGGAAAGATAAAGGTCCCCCTTTATCTTTCCTTTTTTTTTAATAAAAACATTGCTTTTATTGTGTACTTATATTTTTGTATTTTAAGTCTTCATTAGACTTTTTGGCATTTCTTCTCAGAATAGTCATATAGGAAATGCCAGCTTTATCTATTTTTAACACGCTTTTTTATATATCATTTTGATGAGTAAAAGTGTTTTTTAATGGTTTAATTGCAAAAATTTATTCATTGTTTCATTGAGAATAGTCTAGATAAAGAACAATCTAGAGTTTAGAATGGGATATCTGAAACTATATTTTAATTATCATAAATTGAAATTCTTTTGAAATTGGAAATTCTAAGATGACAATGAATACAGCCAATAGCAATTTAGTAAGTAATTATTGTTTTGACTTTATTTTAGGTACACATATTTGTAGACATGAATTGGTAACAAAAAGGTTTTCTTTTACTGTTCTATCTGTGGTTGGAGACACAATAGTAAGCTGAGGTGCAAAAATGTCTGTGTTTACTTGGGGTTTGAAGAAATAAATTGTGCAAATACTTTTTTATTGTAAATATGTTGTTGCAGCAACAATATTCAATTAGAACTTTTGGAAAGCAGGTAATAGGTATAGACGGTGATGTGTCAATACCTACTACTAGATATTTTTATGCACACTTACACTTTTCCAAATTTGTACGGAAGGTAGTTTGTAGGTAATTTTAACAGAATTTTTGGGAGGTATTTCATGAAGAATTGGGTAGTTTCCTAGGTCAAAA